CCACCCCCGGGTTTTTGGAACAGGAGTTTACTGATTTATTAAGCCCCGCGCTTTGAGGCGGCCGTTAGCTTTTCCCATTTTTGCCTGTGTTCGGAAACGAGGGGAATGTCAGAAACCGCAGCAGCGGTAGCAATGGCAAACGTGTTGTTTGTGTTCGTGCAAGTCTGAAGTTGTGTTTGAAGCATAAAGAGCCTAAATTAGCTCAGTCTGGGGCCTGTGAGACCCGTCCCTTGGACTGGACATACCCCATTGAACACTAGCAGTGGCCCCGATGCCGGATCGATTTGCCTGATCGATTTGCGCCGTTTGGCCTTTTTTTGTCCCATGTTACCGATGAGTGCTCCTTGTGCCTCCTGTGTTCTCAAAGCCTGGCCCAGGTCGGTTAATTGCGTTAATTCCTGCTCTGCTCAGCCTCGCAGCCCCATCTGCTGGCACCGGGGCTCTTCCCTCCCGGAGCCGAGCCCTGGCACGGCCGAAAAACCCCCCAGAGCTGGCGGCGGAGACTCATGGGCTTCCCAGGCCTTAGAGATAAACTGCTCAGCCCCATGGACTTCCCAGGCCTTAGAGATAAACTGCTCAGCCCCATGGACTTCCCAGGCCTTAGAGATAAACTGCTCGGCCCCTTTCGGGCAAGTTCTCACAGAGCTGTGCTCACTGCGTGTGGAAAGAGGGAAGAGTGAAGCCGTCTGGGTTTTCCTCTGCTGGGGAGAAAGATTCTTCCCAGGAAAATGTTGAGTTTAGGAGTTTGAGACCCACCCCCAGAGCGTATGGTTGGAGTTGGGCGCTCATGCCCTTAGTCTCTGCTTTTAGGAAAAATACCAAACCTCTTCCAAACACCCCAGAAAACTTTCCTGTGGGTCTCGCTCTGGCGTTGTGAGTGGGTCCGGCATAGATCAGATTTTTAAGCAGATAGTGTAGCGCTTTTCCTTCAAATAAGGTATGTTTAAAGACAGGTGCTTTGCAGAATCTGATGCTTGTATCAGTAACTTGTAACTTCTCCTAATTGTGACTCTGTTGTCCATTCTTTTTTCTTTTCATTGTTAGCTAAAAAGCTCTTTGTTGTTTTTAGGACCCCACACTGCATGCTATTCTTAAATCTATTCCTGCTTTGTTAGGAATGGAAAATAGTAAAACGCAAGCTAGGTAAAATAGTCTCCCCTTTTGCTTCTGTCTTTTGAAATAGGTATTCCCTGAGATGGCTTTTAGCCTTATAATTTCACATTTAGCATGTAATGTAAATAATCCTTTATTTATAGGGGAGAGTGGAATGTTTGAAAATTAATTCAATTGTTGCAGCATCTGAGTAATTCAGATGAACAAAGGATGGGTACGGGTATGCTGGTGTCTGTGTTCATTCCTGTGAAAGAGCCTCTTGCTTTCTGCTAGTTTTGTACAAAACCAGAAATGGTGTTTCTTGGCTGTTTTAAGTTGAAGCTGATCTGTGAAATTACAAACAGTGAGAAACTGTAGAGTGAATTTTCCACCTCCTTTCCTTTCTACAATACATAACCACAATTTCGCGTGTGGTTTTCTTATTGTTGTACAAAAGAGAACCTCAGCCTCACTCGTGTCATGTGTTTTTTTTACTCAATAGTCTTCGCAGTCGCACTGGTTGACGGCGGAGGAGAGGAACCAAGTTTTACTTGATCTCAAAGCTTCAGGCTGGTCTGAGTTAAGCAAAAGAGATGCCATCTACAAAGAGTTCAATTTCAAAAATTTTAATCAGGTAATTACTGTTATATACCACTTTTCATATAAAGGAAATGTAATTGCTGTGATTTCCACACAATCCTGATGGGAAGATATTTATATTCAGAAATTTGGGAGTATCCTTGTGGGGCCAAACCATCTTGAGTTTGCCTCAGCGGATTGCTGCCTGATTCTCATCTCATCAGGTGGAGTAAATTAATTCAGTTTCGTAGTTGTTAAGTTGATTTGTTCTAATATTACAATGTCTTGATTATAATTTTAGGGTCAGGGTCAGTCCTATGGGATTGGGAAAGCCCAGGCAGTAGAGAAAAGGTGGATGAGGTGCGCCAGGCTGGGTGAAAGCAAAAGAAAATAACAACTGCAGAAAAATCCAGCTCACAAGCAGGATGCTGCTGGTCCAGAGAGCACGTCTGGAGTCCAAAGTGCATTTTCTCCTGGATTGTGCTTCAAATCTGAATGTTAATAGAGAGCAAGTAGAACTGGATCTGGTAATTTAGAGGGCAACGAAGGAGGGGAGCCCATGAGAGGGAGCTCACATGAAACCTTGGTGAGATGTGCAGGCAGCTCAGAGCTGGAGCAGCCAGGAGAGCCCAGCACCGATGAGATAGAGGTAACCCTTGGCAGAGTTGAGACTTTCAGCCTTTGTGCTTCAAATATTCATGGAACGACGTCTCTTCTGGGGCACGGGCAAAGTCTGTTGATTCAGCACAACTAGAGATGACTTTTTTCTTCCCTAAAGTTAGTTTAGAAGTGGTTGTGCACTCTGTGAGTAACGAAGTCAGTTTGGTCAGATGGACTTAGGCAGCATGCCAGCAGAGAGGGCGAGAGACAAATCAGTGTGCTGCACCAGCAGATACCGAGAAAACCCTTTGCTTTAGCAAAAATTCATGAAGTTGTGATTTTCTGACTGTGTAGTTTTATCTTACAACACAGGTAGATATCCATATGTCCTTCTAATTTGAAGATTCATGAGGCACATGCCAGTATCGTAAGTTGTGTATATTTAAATATGCTCATTTGTAAATGATAAAGTATACAGTTTAGAAAGCGTACTCAAAAAAAATTTGCCCTTTGAGTTGTTTGGGAGATACTGGTAGAGTCTCTTCTGTTCTTGGTTGCCCTTTATGGGTGTCGGGTAAGTAGAAACGAGAGCAGAGGGTGGGAACGGACTTCAAAACTGAACTTTCTGTGCCCAGCTGGGAGAACGAGCCAGGCAGGTGGGTCCTTTGAGCAGCTCTGGTTGGACCAGGGTTATTTCTGAATTTCTGAAGGCAAAATTTCAGCCACTGATCCGTAGGAACCAGCTGTGGTGTCCCCGTTTGTGGAGGGCAGAAGGCGTTGCTGTTACTGTAGCTCAGGGAAGGGCTCAACGTGCAGGTCCTGAGGGAATGTTCAGAGCTGGTGTTAGAGAGCAGGTATTTGCCTTTCAATAAGTTGAAGCGGAAAGTAAATTCAAATTGTGCACGTATGCTGTATTGATGCTTATGTTGTAAACAACTATATAAAAACAAGTCTATATAATATGTATATTTATGTTTATAGTAACTAATAGGAAGTACTGTGTTTATCATGACCTAGGGAACAATCCTCCCATTGTACGTTGGGATGATTTAGTCCCGCAGTGTAAAAAAAACGACCAACTTTTAGGTGCAACTACTTTAATTTCACGTAATAAATATTCTGTTTGCATCATAAAGTGAGAGTATTTAGTAAAAGTCAAAGGACAGAGAAATATAATTTCCTTGGTGATCTTCCTGCCATCCTTTTACAGATGGTGTAAAATCAGGTGTGTGAAAAAAAAAGAAAAAGAAAGAGTAGTTGAGCTGACATGAAAGGTATTTCAGATTTATGTTTTGCAGATGATATTGGTATGATTAATGTATTCATTGCTTTTTTGTGTTGCTTCTCGCAGATAATGTTCATAATGCTGGAAAATTCCATGGCTTTAAAATCTATGCCAGGTTTACAGAGTCTGTGTATGTCAACAGATGTTAAGAATATAAACACAACTTTTATTATAAAGTTGTGCAAATGTGTAGACATGAGCTTGGTTTATGTATATTGTTTTCAGCATGAGAATGAAACAAAACTTCTGTGAAACAAGAGTTATTTAGATTCCTGAAGCTTTCAGGCTGAGATGAGCTGGGTTAAAAGCAATCCGCGATGGGCTGCCTTTGTCAGGCTGACAAGCTCATGACACTTCTGGCTTAGGGAATTAGTTTGTAACCCAGGACTTGAAAGCACTGGTGCTGCTTGTTAGTCTGAAGATACATTTTCAAATGCAAATGGGCTTTGGAGGGACAAGTCTCTGAAAGGAGCTGGAAACCAGCCTGGGGTCCCAGCTGGAAACTCTTTGTTGTGTTGCTGTGGGTGCCCACCGCACGCCGGTCCTGGTGCTGGGGGGTGCCTGCTGCTCCGTGTCCCCATTGCCTTTAGCGGGAGACAGGCTCCAGGTGGGTGGGCGTCCTTGAATCTTGTATAAAATATGAAATGCACCGATGGCGGGGAAAAAAGGCAAAAGCAACTCGGTTGTAGAGGAGAGCACCTTTACTAGAAGAGCTGCGCTGGTGCATCCATTCCTCCTTACACCTTGCAGTCGCCACGTGTCGTTGCCACTGTTGAGCAGCAGGTCGGCAGGGAGGAGTTAAAATTGGAATCTCTTACCTCCAGGACTTTCTCTCCGTGCGCTTGCTCAGGAGCCGCCTGGCTGAGTCGCTTTTCCTGAGGAGCTTGTGCTCTGCAGAAACCTCTGGCTGCGAGCGAGGGCTTGGAGAGCGGGTGGGCTCGTGCCACTTCACGGCGAGTCTCGAGCCGCTGCCGCACGTCTGGAGGCCAGCGAGCCTCTGGAAACCTCACGGCCTCCTCAGGGAGCTTGTTCAGGGCCTCCTTCCCTGTCTGCAGGGATGAGAAAAGCAGCGTGCGAGGCTTTCAGACCACCGCATGTTCTTGTCCGTTGTGCTACTGAAACAAAAATGTTTCTCTTCCAGCTGTGGAGCAAACTCTCAGCTTCCAGTCTGCCCAAGCGAAATTTGGAATTGGGATAGAAAGTTAATTTACGCCTCCAGACCATGGAGGTACCTTCTCCCAATTATCATTCTGCAAACTCAGAAAAGAAGCTGCAGAAACCACGTTAGAAGTTGGTCATCGAGGGAGGGAAGGCTTATTGAGGACCTCAACGTCCTGGCCTCTATCTGAGGAATTTCCTGGGATTTTCTCAGCGTTTCAGATCACTACGCCTCGGGAGGGATGATCCTGCAAAGGGGACAGACCTGGCTTAAAAATCAGAATTTCTCTTGGCTTAGCCTTGAGCCTGGGCTCTGGGTGTGGGGCGCAGAGCGTTGTGTTTGGGTCCCTTACCCAGCTGCTCCCTTTCACCGAATCTGCAGGAACATCTGAACCCTGAGACTTCCATGTCTCATGTCAAAGTCGGTTGGATTTGACCAGAGGGTTTAAGGGGCAACTGCCTGTGTGATTGCATTTCCTTGGGTAATCACGCCAAGGCAGAAAATGCAGTTAGGAAATTACAAAGGTGGGTATGTTTGCTGATGGTCGAGTTCAGCATTTACAGCTGCTTTCTTTTATAGGGTAAGTTTTTAATTAAGGTTGCTTTTCTTTAAAAAAAAAAAAAATCATGTAGGAAGTCTCCATAAGACCTCTAACGTCATTTTATAAAATGACAGGAAATCAAATGCTCTTTAAAAGCTATTTTAAATACATTTTGTGTTTTGGGGCTGCAGGACATAGGGCGAAAGATGAGCCTGAGTGGAGGGGACAGTAAGGAAACGCTTTGGAGGATGGTGTGCAGGGAGAGTAGAAGCACATGTGTTTTACTGCAGTTGTGGAGTCTCGGTTTTTGCTGATTTAAAGATGTGCAAAAAATCTAGAACTATTAAATAAATTGTTATTCTCACTTTCCATTTCCTTTCCAAATTTGCTAGCTCTCTTGCTTGAAATCCAGGAAAAAAAAAGTCAGGCAGAGCGTATTATGATAGATGCCTTTTTCTTCCACTCATTGAAATGCCAATTATTTTCCCTTTAAATTTCTCTTAAAATTTCCCTTAAGTTGATCATCCTCATTGTGTTACCGCAATTACACACCCGAACAAATTTGATAGGATACGCAACGCGTCCTCTTCCTTTATGTTGACGGTGGCACTTGGGGCCAGTGTCTGTAACGTGATCTGTGTCGATACTTCTTTTTGCCGCTCCCGGTGCGTTGCTTTGTCTTCGGCGTTGATCAAAGATTGGAAAATTTGGTTTTTGTATGTGTAGGCAGCGTATTTCATTGCCACTTTATGTACTTAATCTTGTGCCCGTTTTATGTATTGAAGCATAATATCCTTTAACCTACAATCTGCAGAGCTAAAATGAATTTTATGTTAAATATTCGGTTGTGGACCACATCTCCAGCTTTTTATATGCCACAGCGGTCTTGTGTTTTGTGGTTTTTTTTTTTACTTCTCCATTGTCTGATAGTGAGGTCATGTTCAGTCCTCTGAGAAATTTTATTCCCAGCCAGATGCGGGCCATATATTAAAAGTAGCACCTGTGGCTAATATCACAGCAGCTTACCATAAATTTACATGGTAACTAGGATTATATCTGTCAAGACTGTTAAAAAATGTCTAGGTTTAATTTGATTTCCAGTATTGAAGGAGCTCTCCGAAGTTTCGCTTCATAACTGTATTTTAAAAGTTAAAATCACTCCATTGTTAAGTTTTACGGCACTCCCAGTGCCCATTAAGTTGATTTGTTAAATGGGGGTCAGAATAAAGCGAGTTGGCTACGGGAGGATCGGAAACCAACCCATTTGTGGCAGATTTAGTCCTCGCGTGTGAATCTTCTCCGAGCCCAGGGACTGATTGGATTCAGGTGCAGCTTATGTCAGTTGGGTTTAACCTCAAAGCCAGAGCAGCCTCAGCCCCCGACTGTCACTTGTGCTAATCGCAAGACAAACCTGTTTTCATTCATTTGGGGCGAGGGGATGGAATTGCTATTTTTAATGTAGCGACGGTC